TTTAAAGTGAATAATATACCCTACTTACTGGAGTTCAACATTAATTGAGCCGCAGCCACACACTTGACTCGTGTGTGTAGAGTAGGTGAGATAAACTGGGAAAGCAGGCGGGTGGCCAAACCACTGTGAGGAAGGGGAGGGGGAACTCAACTGTTTCTAAATGCATTTTTTGCGTTTGTTTTTTTTTTCTACTTACAGAATTATTTTAGGTATACATACATATATTTTTCACAATAGATAGTGCGATTTTTTTTTTATATAATTTTTTTTGGGGGGACAACCCTCGGATAGGGGGGGACATGTCCCCTCCGTCCCCCCCGGGATTTACGCCCATGCTGTGGAGTGATGAATCACGTGTCTCTGTGTGGCAGACTGATGGAAGAGTCTAGGTTTAATGGATGCCAGAACGTTACCTGCCTGACTGCAGTGTGGCAAGTGTACAGATTTATGCTGTTGTAGGGATAATGGTACGGGGTTGTTTTTCAGGGGTTGGGCTAGGCACCTTGTGAAGGGAGCTCTTAATTCTTCAGCATACCATATCATTTTGAATTATTCTAGCAAGGTCCATAAAGACATGGTTGGGTGAGTTTGGTGTGGAAGAACTTGACTGGCTCACACAGAGCCCTGACCTCAACCCCAGCGAACACCCTTGGTATTAACTAGATCAGAGATTGTTTGTCAGGCCTTCATGTCCAACATCAGTGCCTGATCTCACGAATGCTCTTCTGGATGAATGGACAAAAATTCCCCCAGACACACTCTAAAATATTTCGGATAGCCTCCCCAGAAGAGTGGCAGCTGTTATAGCTGCAAAGGGGGGACCAGCTCCATATCAATGCCTATGGATTTAATAATGATAATAATAATTGACACTTTTATTAATCCCCATGGGGAAATTCTTTTTACGCCTCCCTCAACTTGCTCTTTGTAGATTACAGATAACCTTGTGATTACAGGCACACGGCTTAGCCCACTGATTTAGACAGGGATGCCAAAATAGTTCCTCTAGGTATAATGGCCAGGTGTCCCAATACTTTTGTCCATATAGTGTATGTAATCTGTGTGTGTACGTGTGTGTGAGAACTCTCAGTATTTCCTGTTACCAGGAGACGTCCTGATGCAGATCTGTGAGGGCCAGAGGAGGCTCATCGCCGAACTGAAGGGAGTAGTAAGTTGATTTTCTGTGGATTCCCTCAATATGAAAACCCTTGTTACTGGTATTGATGGTAATTACCCTGTAGTGCTGGGAGTTCTGTGACTGTTAAGGGCTCCTGCCCTGTCATTGGCTAAGGTACGGCCCGTTAGGCGGGTTGGGGCCTCGTGGAGAGCAGTTCCCATCTGCTGACCGCCCCCCCCCCCAACCTGTTTCAGTTTAACTGGTTCCACGCTGAAGTGCTACAGGAGATGGGCAACAATGTCCGCCTGGACAGAGACTACATATCAGTGAGTAACGCTGGCGGCA